TTTTGTTATTATTTAAAATATTCAGAGGCCTTACTCCACTTTTTCTAGTTGATAGAATACCAAGATCTGTAGCAACAACAACTATGACTTTGCGATCTGCTTCTAATAAACGCATGAACGCATACCATACCCACAAAGTTAAGCTCAAAACTACATTTTTTCCATGGACAGTTAAGCAGTGGAATGCCTTACCTACTACTATCACTACAATTTCAGATTTAAGAAAATTCTGTTCTGCCATAAACAATTAGTTTTTTCCTTACTATAAATGGCCGAGATTCAAAAACATTGAAAGAAAATATGACATGATTCTCAATCAAATGCGCGTAAATTTTTCTCGCTTGAATGATGATCTCTACAAAAAAAACTTAGTTAGTAGCTCTCAGTGTGCTTGTGGGAAGGCTGAAACAGTACAGCATTTCTTTCTGGAGTGTCAATATTACCAGCGGAGACGAACTATCTTTGAAAATGACTTGAATGCTCTAGTAAACGATACCCTCACTCTTGAACACATACTCTTTTTAAAACCTGCACCATCTTGAAACGTTACAGAAATGAATGATTCGTAATTACATTTATTCGCGACACAGAAAGATTCTAATTTCCCGATATCCTTCTCTCCCCTTCGTTCATTAGTTATTCTCTGTTTCTTTTTTCCTTATTATTATTTTGTTGTTGTCATTACTTTCTCTCTTAAATGTTGTCGCCGTGTATTGTTTCTATACATGTATTCTAGTGCTGTCCTCTGTCCTCAGTCAATTTATGTTAAGATGTAATGGGTTCGCCTCCTTCTTCTCATAATTTCTACTGATTTTTTCAACATTTCTTCTAAATAAATAAAGTTTATACCAACAATAATCAATCATCGGTGCAATTTCTGTGCTATGCCGGCTTTCTGTTTTGCTGCATCTCTCTAGCACGTCAGTATATCAACAGGAATTGAAAATTGTTTACTTGGTTTTGCTTTTATCTTTATGCTGATTTCTTATAAGCGAAACTTACGAGGGAACTTTTTCACATGTCCAACTCGTTTCGACTCCATCTTTCGGCCATAAGTAGACCACGATGAGGCATGAACAACCTCAAAAGGATTCATTTCCTCAGGCCTTTGTTTCCGAGATATGGAATTTTTAAGATATGCGTAAAAGAGATTTTTGCATAGTTCCATGCAGTGCCGAAAGAATTCTATCTAGTTCTCAACCCAGAACATGACATTTTATAAATCGAACATCTCAGAACTCTATTTTCTTTGAACCATAGGTAGTTTCACTTTCAAAAGTTTCATCAAAGATAGACAAGTACTGCACGGAACTATTTAAAGATCCTTGTGTTTTTGATGGGTGAAAAGCCGATTTTAAGGTTCAGAAACTCGTTTTTCCATCTGAACTTAAAAGGTCTCAGTTTCTCTGTTCATACTCCTATACAGTAACTACTTGACTGCATGATAACGCAAAGATATCGAAAAAATGCTTACCCTCCCATGCAGAAACGATATTTCAAAAATAGCCCTAAGATCCAAAACATTAAAAGATGGATCAAATTCCTTCACTTACTTCCAGACTATATTTAGTTTACTCAGTTTTGGATGCTTTCGATTGGCTTAATCAGAATTTTTTTTTCACTCACTCATTCACGAGATTCAGCAGTCATACTATGGCACTTTTGGCTTAAAATCGCGTTTTCAGCCTAAGGAAAAAGCTTGTCAAACTTGTTTTTTTACGAAAATGTAGCTCGCGCTCTCTTCTATGCATTGATGTAGTTTCAAATCGTGTCGGTGCTTATATAGCGTAAAAAGGGATTTTTATCAACCGTACAAATAATTTTTGCCACTTTCATTTTTCGGTCTAATGGGCCTACAAAGAGCAACAATGAATATTTCTAACCTTCTTTTATCTACAAATATACTAGAGAGCGCAGAGAACATTTTGGCGCAAAGCGCTTGTCAAAAGCTATTTCGTTACCGAGTTATGATTAAAAGAAAACTCGCACACATAATTTCTGCCGTCACTGTATATGTTATCCTATCTTTAATTTTATGTCTGGGAATATTCACATGTACTGAGCTGGAAAGCAAAAAACTTCTCAGCGCTTTTTCTTGATCATCAATACTGGAATAGTCGACAGCAGTATCCGGCATAAAACCTGGCAAAAAGAGTACGAGCTGTGTCAGGGACATATTGGCAACCAGACAGAAGATCTCGGAAAAATACCAGTTAAGCATTTCTGCGTACAAGACCTCTGAATAATTAATGAATTGATAGCAAAAACTCTCACTCCCGCATACATTCGACTTTCCGAGCAGTGCCGTTTTTGACAAAACGATTCTTCGATGAAAAATTCTTGGCAACGCTTTGTTATTTACAAGAATATGGTACAAATGGAAATGAAGAGAACAAGTTCAGTTTTCTAGTCTCGTTGTAATGCTAAACATGTTGTTTTTTTTCTCCTACATAATAATGCAGAACGAAAAAGAGAAGTCAAAACATAACCTACATCATTCTTTTTTTATGTATGCGCATATGAAAAAAGAAGGTCCTAGCACCTTTATCAATACTTGATTTTATAGTATTCTTATCCTTGATTATTCTGATTTTACAAGTCATCCATCTCCCTTCTTTTTGTTTTTCTCAATGCCGTCGAGATAAACATACAATGAAACAGATCGATCTGTCCCATTAAGTGGCGGAGCTGCAGTGCGAATCAGAAGTGACCGCTTGACAAGCAGCCGATATCTATGTTGTTCTGATATAAGCACACGGAAATCAGTGTCTTTCATAACATGTCTGATAAATCGTTTTCAGTGTCGCATAAGAGCACCTCATTCCACGTACGCCGGGACATTTTTAAGTTAAGAAACGTTTTCAGCTCCGTTCGAGCAATGCTGTGAAGTCTTCGATCATGCCGGTACGACTATGGAATAATATGAAACCGAGTAATACGAATATCAATAGCAATATTAGAAAAACGTTGCGAGTTGTTCTATCATATCTACCAATCAACTGTTCATGTTTAGCAGCGTGTTCGTTATTTTTCGTCATTAATGCTTCGTTTAATTGTTGTTCTTTCTTTAATGCATTATTGTACGACTGCTCTCTATCTCTCATATCATTTTTCAAATTTGTATAAGTGTCCTTTTCTTTCTGTAAGCGTTTTTCGTATACTGCAGAGTGATTTACACGATCTTTTTGTAATTTTTCAAAATCTTGTTGTGATCTTTGAAGTTCTTTTTGTAATTTTTCGAAATCCTGTTGCGATCTTTGACGTTCCTTTTGTAATTCTTCAACATCTTGTTGTGATTTTTGAAGTTCTTTTTGTAATTTTTCAAAATCTTGTCGTAGCTGTTCATTTACTTTTTTTAGCTGTGTCATTTGTTTACAGAATTCGATTGGATCGATTAATGTATCTAGTTTTGTATGAGATTTAAATTTATCAACAATTTTTCTTTTCACTGCGTCCAGATTTTCATATTGAACCTTGTCTGTTGTTTTCACATATTGTGATCGAACTTCGAATGATTCGCCACAGTTTTTAAAATTATCTAATTCCCCACTGCGATAGAGAAACAACATCGGTATAGTCAAATTATAACAATAATCAGCAAATCTCGGCAGATCTCCCAAGGCGCTCTGACGGCCGTTACTACCATTAACATAGAATATAACACCATGAGCATCCGATCGTCCTTGCAGTTCCTTTTGCCACTGACCTGGATCCTTACAGTTCATACCAATCATATCGATCAAATCAATTTGATATTGTTCGACAATGAACGACCCGATTTGTTCATCAGACACACGACAACCCTCTTTGCCAGCACTAGTCTCAAATTTCGTACCGGTTAGATCATTAATCAGAGTTGTTTTGCCAACCCCTTCTAGACCAATCAAAACCAGACGACGAACCTTTTCTGGATAATTGTCGTTTACTTTTCTTGCAGGTGATAACCCTTCTCCAGTCGTTGATGGCAATATAAACGGCCTTAGGTCAGTTGATGTAGAACAAGACATTCTAAACTACGACTAATTGCACAAGAGCGTGTTAAAGTCACTCTGAAAACAGATATGGATCATGCAGTTTCCACTGTTGATTAGAGCGGTTTTTCCTAAGCAAAAAAGACCTTTTTTGAATACCTGTTTTTCTACTTGAGAGCTGGGCAATTCTGACAAATGATTAAGCTCTTGAGTGTTTACATCGGTTCTTTACCAGGATATAAACCAATGTATAGCGCAAAGGTCAAAACCGATCTGATTCAAAAGAATATTTACTTGGGAGTAGAAAAACTATCGCCTGTCAAACTTCTTCAAACTCTTTAATACGCATATGTTCGAAACAAATGCCGTCGATTCTTTAGGTTTTTGGCCCTAGGAAAGTCGACCTTGGATCATGAACCTCGAACGATCTGGCTGATTCTTTAGTAAGTTGCGCACAAAGCAAAATTTTATCTTTTATTCTTGATATCCTGAAAATCGGTTTGGGGTGAAACCTCTGGAAAATCAGATATTTAAAAGTCTTTTTCTAGATATCCATAACATACTGTAAATAATTCTCTTTCTAGTACGACATCTTCCAACTTTACATGACGTTTTGCCATGGAAATAGAGGTTCTCCTCACAAGTTCTGTCCTTCGACAAAGATCGTAGATTAATAAAAATGAAATATCTATAAGATTTGATGCATTGTCAGTCTCAACTTATTATACGAACAGTGAATCTCTAGGAAGATTCTTATCTTTTTTATTTTCGTTCGAACATACGCTAGAAGGTCATTATAGCCGCTAAGATAAATCAGGTAGTTAGTGAATGATAAAATGTGTTGTTACTTATGTTGTTAACTATGTCATAAGGTTTTGTTGTGACAGAATATACGTATGAAATTATTTCAACGAAATATTTTATCACAACATTTATTAACAAAGAACAGACAAGAAGATTACAATACACGTTTGAGTATAGCTCACTATTTTGTTTGTCTATTATTACGAAATATTTCGAAGACGAAGAAAAAGACAATTATCACAAAGCAAATAAAACTTATTCCCTTGACTATAAAGTAAAGGGTCTTATCACTTAAGTAAGGCTCTTATCACACTTGAATGGATGAAATTGATAGGGAGTAGGTAGTCAACTATGGGGTGAGGATGAAATAGATTCTGTTGGTTGAAAACTTTATTTTTTTTTACTTAATTCTATTCATCGGAGGGGATAGTCTTGCAACCGTTAGATGCCCGTCAGTGTGTCTGTCCATTGAAACACCTAGTATTGGTGAGGATTATCAAATAGATAAGCGGCGTGACCACTAGATAGGCAGAGTGATAGATGCTGGTACATAGCAGCATAAAAAATTAGTTTTGCGGACGTACATACACACATTTGTGTACTGGCCTGTAGCGAACGCCGACCTAAAGGGAGGCGAGAGCGTTGTCTCTGACGTACAGGCCACGATCACAGTACCAGAATTAAATGAGCTAAGACGAAGCTGATTGGTCAAAAAGTTAACTCTGAATTAAATGCTGTTTCGGACATCATTTAACTTTAACTCTCCGGTCATAAATGAGCTCAATAACCAGTAATATGGTTCCGTTAAACAATGAAGACAGCGCCACTTCTTTGGGAAAACAAACATCTGACTCTCTGCTCAATTTTGTTGTTTGAGCTTAGAAAGTCAACTGTAGAGCGTAAATTCAAACCGACAGATCGAAATACAAAATCTTATTGGTGAATTAAAGGTTTAGATGTGAACGCTCTCGAAGTTAGCTTCGAGTTAACTCTGAAAAATTTGTAGTATTTTTTTAGAAGTTACATAAAACATTCAGCATAAAAGTCTTTTGGGAATATATAGTTCTTATTCCCTTTTTTGTATGAATATCCATGAGTAGACTCTCTTTTATATCTCTCTTTAATTTATGAGATTCTATAGCGAGTATTCCTGAATTCCAATTAGTTCTATGTCCACTTGCCCACCCGTGAATGGCAATCCTTAAGAAACCTTGCCCATAAAATGCTTGCTGATGTTCTTCTTTTCTTTTCTTCTCTCCTCTCGCCGTCTGCCCAATATAAGTATTAAAACAGCCACAACAGTCATACTTATAACCTTTTGTACATCAGTTGACTGATGATGTCTTTAGAATAAAGACGAAACGTCTCATTTTGAAATGGTCATTTCAACATGCAAAAAGGTGATTTTAATCTTGATTTCTGTTATAAAATTTTTCACCTTAAACAAAGAATCAATTGCTAAAGTTGTTCACAAATTTTCAATTCTGAACGTGCCAAAATTCGGAAATTCTGAAATTATCAAAAATTCTAAATGTTTTGAAATTAAGAGTGCAGTCACAGTGTGAAGTATCGAAATTCTGCTGAAATTCCTGGGATTGTTCTGAGAGTCTCCCGAAATTACAGAGATTCTCAAACTCTAATTCTGATTCTTCCAGACATTCTGAAATTCCTAAATTCCACACGTTATCAAATTCAAAAAGTAGTTACAGTGTGAAGTTCTGAAATTCTGTGGATATTCCTGAAATTCCTGCAACTCTCAAACTCTAGAAATTCGGAAATTCGTGATACTCTTCTCAAATTTGTGAAATTCTTCTGAAATTCCTGACATTTTTCTGCAATTTCCAAGATTCTGAAAGTGTAGAAATTCGACATTCAGAAATTATCAAAAATTCTAAACGTTTTGCAATTTAGAGTGCAGTCATAATGTGAACTTCTGAAGTTCTACTGGAATTCCTGACTATCTGGCATGTTCTGATATTCCTGCTATTCGTCTGAAATTTCTGAAATTGTGAAATTATCAAAAATTCTAAACATTTTGCAATGCAGATTGTCGTCGCAATGTGAAATTCTGACATTCTGCCGAAACTCAAAAACAAAAATATTCCCAAATTCAGAGTGAAGTCACAGTGTGAAGATCTGAAATTCTTCTGACATGCCTGCCATTTTTCTGGAATTTCTAACATTCTCAAAGTGTGGAAATTGTGAAATTATCAAAAATTATAAATATTTTGAAATGCATATTGTAGTCTCAAAGTGAAGGTCTGAAGTTCGTCATAAATTCCTCACGTTTATCCGGAATTTGTGAAATTCTGAAGTTTTGAAATTCTATATCACCATTATTTTGTTGACTTGTAGGTTTATTATTTTCATGACCAATACGATGACTATTTTCGATTTCGTCCATGGATAAAGGACAAGTCTGGATAAGTGGATTTTTCATCCCAAAGAATTTTCGAGAAAAAACTACATGGCTGTAATCAGCGTCGAAAACTGAACAAAATGGCCGGTTCAGTTTTTCCAAAAAACCACTTTCAATTTTTTCGAAAATTTTGAGGGCTGAGGTGGACCTCAGGAACATCGAAAAACATTTTCCCTCAGAAATGGATAAAAACACATCACTAGAATCAGAATTCAACGCTGATTCCAAATATGTCCTTGATTCTACTTAAAAGCGTCAAGGAAAATTGACCTCAAAAAATACAAAAAGGTTGCGGACTCTTGAAGGCTCGGTTTTCTGGATAACCAGTTTTTCAAGAACTCTAAAAAATAATCAAAAACCTTTTTTAATAAGTTACGATTGTAGCCCGCAAATTTCTGATTAAAACGAGACATCTACCACCTCTACGCGACCTTTCTTTGCAAAGTTATACAATTTACAAGAAAAGCCCTAAATATATTCATTGTCAGCTCACAGCTACAGAAATAAGAACAAATTAATTTAGGACTTTTCTTGTAAATTGTATAACTTTGCAAAGAAAGGTCGCGTAGAGGTGGTAGATGTCTCGTTTTAATCAAAAATTTGCGGGCTACAATCGTACCTTATTAAAAAAAGTTTTTGATTATTTTTTAGAGTTCTTGAAAAACTGGTTATCCAGAAAACCGAGCCTTCAAGAGTCCGCAACCTTTTTTTATTTTTTGAGGTCAGATTTGAAATCAGCGTAAAAGATTGAATCGATCTATGTGTGTCTCTCTTAATTGATGGAGACTTGGCTTTGGCTTAAAAATTGTAATGAAATGATGGATTAGTCTAATTTTGGTCGCTTTTTCAGTTTTGAGTCAAAAATTGATGTAAAAGTAATTATTTTAAAACTCATTTGACATGTTTTGGATAGAGTGAATAATTCTACACACTCCTGAGTATTTTTCGAGGTTTCAGACCTCACTTGAAAGCCAGTTGATGGTTCAAAACTGAAAGAGGTCAAAAATACCTCTTTTCAAAAATCATTGAGTTTTCATTTTCCTTGACGCTTTTAAGTAGAATCAAGGACATATTTGGAATCAGCGTTGAATTCTGATTCTAGTGATGTGTTTTTATCCATTTCTGAGGGAAAATGTTTTTCGATGTTCCTGAGGTCCACCTCAGCCCTCAAAATTTTCGAAAAAATTGAAAGTGGTTTTTTGGAAAAACTGAACCGGCCATTTTGTTCAGTTTTCGACGCTGATTACAGCCATGTAGTTTTTTCTCGAAAATTCTTTGGGATGAAAAATCCACTTATCCAGACTTGTCCTTTAATTGCAATTCTGTATTAATAAACTGGATTACTCTAGCTGTTGTATTCTCACGTTGACTTTCTTTAAGACCATAAAAACGCAGGCATCATGTACGATTATATAGTTCTATCTGTTTTCTTTTCTAATGCATCGGTTTGTCTTTCTAATGCACCCAGACGTTGACCAATTTCTTTTAAGACTCCTTGATACATAACATCAATAATATCTTTGGCTGAGCTTGATACATCACTATTGTTAGAACTGACTATGGCAGCCACTTGTGTTTGTAATTGTTGATCATTTTTTAACGTTTCAACAAGAACGTCTTTTAGACCACTAAATGTTAGTGGATGAACCACTGTACGTTGAGATTTTGACTGAATTTCCTGTGGCATTATAAAAATAAATTTAACCCAAAGAAAAAGAACACATATATAGACAAGAAATTATCAAATAAATACGTTAGTTCATATACAGTAACACAACAAATAGATATAGCTACAGAGTGTTATTACACGTGGTTAGAACATAAGATGACACGTTGCCTCAGAATGAAGAAAAGATATCTATCTAATTAAGACTTGCTATTTAATATCAGGTAAAGAGCTATTATTTAATGGAATCAGGTAGGTGACTGATACCGACAGAACGAGCTGAAATTTTCAGGCATAGATAGTTCACATTGAGATTAGATCATTATCAAGAAATTTTACGCTTTAAAATTCTTTTCTTTTACAGTTAAAGCGGTGGGTGGGTCTATTGCCACTTATAGAAGTGTCAACTAGAAGCTATTGCCACTTCCCGACCTGGCAGCAAGCAGCTATTGCCACTTACAAGAAGTGTCAATAAGGAGATATTGCCACTTCCAATAGAAAGTGCTCCTTATTGCCACTTTCTATTGGAAGTGGCAATAGCTCCTTACTGACACTTCTTGTAAGTGGCAATAGCTGCTTGCTGCCAGGTCGGGAAGTGGCAATAGCTTCTAGTTGAAACTTTCAGAAAGTGGCATTAGCTCCTTAGTGGCACTTCCGAACGTGGCAATAACATCTTATTGACACTTCTGTAAGTGGCAATAGCCATTCCGTAAAGTGTTTGGTGTCGCAAGTGGAGATCCTGCAGAAGGTAAATAAGACGAGCTTTTACAACAAACTCCGTTTTCTATCCTATGGCAAAACGTAAGACCCGTAAAATTTATGTCATAGATCCTGGACATGCTAGACTATGTTTTCTGTGAAAATTATAGTTAGAAATTATTTGTGCCACCCATATATGCTTCAAAGAATTTTCTAATTTATTTTTGCACTAATAAACTGGAAAAGTGAGTTTTTTGCCATTTGAATCAGTTTTTAATGTTGTATCTGAAAATATGATCAACATTTTGTGAAATGTTTTTTGTAAGACGAAACTGAAGAGCTGAGATTTTTGAAAAAGATCTTCAGAAAACCAAAAATATTGAAATCGGTTTTTCAGTTTATCAGAAGATCACTTCTGCCTTTAACACAACATCAAAGCTTCCAATTCAGTAATGTTATATATGCAAAACGAATTTCTTGTCTATGAACGATCTACAATATCATCTGCGCGAGCACGCAGACCGCAGATCCGACTACATGTTGAAACCATGGCAAAACACATACAAGGTATAGAACAACGTGAAAAAATACAAAATATTTTGTAGAGGCATGGTAAACTATTCGATACTACAAACCCATCAGTTGTTAATACCACACTGGCACATGCTATCGATACAGGAAACCATCGCCCATTAGACACACCACAATATAGACAATCACACAAAGATCAACAAAGAATATCAGAAGAGATAGACAAATCAATCAGACAACGTATAGCTGAGCTAGATGATACAAAAATCACTCTGAATATAGTGTTTTATATTCTTTTTATTGAAAGTTTTCGCAGGAGATTTAAGATGCGTCGCTCCATAAACATACCCTGAAACTTTGTCAGTTTGTAAAGGACATCTTCAAAGGTCTAGATATGCAATAATTCGTGAGTTCGAGCTGTTTTGGTGGAGCAGTGATATTTTCAAAAACTGAAAAACACGCTTTTTCAGCTATTTTGAAGGCAGGTAGGTAAAAGTGATTCGTACGGAACACGTTGCGCGAATGAAGCGCTCTAACATATATATTCGGAATCAGCACTGAATTGTGCGTCGCATGAAGTATAAGAAACCCTATTTGCAATGAAAAATGTTTTTTTGTCCAGCACATGGTGGAAAACCTTGGAAAATCTGAAGTTTTTGGCGTTTCTCTCCTTTCCTATGTACTTGCAGGTATGTCACAAGTATTTACCAAGTTACCTCGGTGAAGTACTTACCTAGCACTTATATTTGTTAAATTACTGCTAAGTACCTTTTTCACTTGCAAAAACCTATACCAATAACAATTGTGTGTTGAACAGTATAATCTATTGACTGAAACTGATCAGCATGGCCCTTTTCTACTATTCACCCGATAGCTAAAGCTCGGCTCATAGCGCCACATATTGTTATCCACAGTGAATAATAATAGATTGCCACAATCTAATCTTTGTAAATTGAATATTGAAACAAAAGTGCCTACGTTTGAATAATATAAAACCATTTTTATCAGAGTACAATAAATATAAATGAAAAACAAAAAATTCCATTCTCATATATCGTCTTACGTACATGTGGTAAAATATTCAGGTCAATCCGATGAAATTTTCCAGGAGGATCCAGCGGGAGATGCTGTAATTACAGTCCTGCGAGAGTTAAAAAATTAGCGATTTGATGAGTATTCACGGTAAAATTTTCTTTTCTTGTTCATTGGTAAAAGAAAGTTTCGTCTTTTGACTGAGATGTTCCGAACTTCAACACGACATAAGGCAGTGAAACGAGCTCATGTGGCAGACCTGGACTCGTTTCGCCACAACAAGCTCATCTTTACCCCAGAACAAACCGATGCTTCTCCACAAGTACTTTAGGTTTTTCCCCGACGAAACCGACGTTTCTCCACCAGAATTTCATGTTTTCTCGTGAACAAACCCATGTTCCTCCACAACAATAACATGCCTTCTCCAGAACAAAAAGACGATTCTCCACAAGAATATGTTTCTCTTCCAGAATTTCATGTTTTCTCGTGAACAAACCCATGTTCCTCTAGAAGAATTTCACAGTTATCCCCGAAGAAGCCGATGTTTCTCCAGAAGAATTTCATGTTTTCCAAAGAAAAAAGCGATGTTTCTGCACAAGAATTTCAAGTTTTGTCCTGAATAAGCTCATCTTGCTCCACAAGAATTTATCTTCTCTCCTGGGTAAACGGATGTGTCTCCATGAACTCCATGTTTTCCCCACAATAAACCGAAGTTTCTCGACCAGATTTTCATGTTTTCTCGTGGACAAACCGATGTTTCTCCGAAAGAATTCTATGTTTTCTCCAGATCAAACCGATGTTGCTCCACGAGAACTTCAGGTATTTCCGCGACGAAACCGATGTTTCGCCACAAGAATTTCATGTCTTCCCCAGAACAAAGCGATGTTTCTCCACCAGAATTTCACGTTTATAACCGAAGAAACCGATCTCTCCACAGGAACTTCAACGTTTTCCCCGACGAAACGGATGTTTCTCCTCAAGAACTTAATGTATTCCCTACAACAAATCGATGTTTCTCCAGAGGAATGGCCAGCATTTTCGTGCGTAAACCTATGTTCTTCCACCAGATCTTTATGCTTTCTCCAGAACAAACCCGTGTTTCTCCAGATGAACTTCATGTTTTCTCTAGAACAAGCCGATGCTTCTCCACAAGAATTTCATCTTCTCTCCTACACAAGCCGATGTTTTTCCAAAAGAACTTTATGTCTTTTCCCCAACGAAACCCATGTTCTCCGCAAGAATTTGATGTTTTGCACAGAACAAACCGATGTTTCATCTTTTCCCCAGAGGAAAGCCATCCTTCTCCGCAAGAAGTTGTTGCTTTTCCGCGAAGAAACCGATGTTGCTCCACAAGAATTTCATGCTTTCTATACAACAAACCGATGTTTCTACGCAGAACTTCTTGCTCTTCTCGAAGAAACCGATGTTTGTCCGCAGGAACTTCAGGCTTTTCTCCGACGAAACCGATGTTTCTCCACCAGAATTTCATGTTTTCCCGTGAACAAACCCGTGTTCCTCCACAAGAATAGCATGCTTTCTCGAGTTCAAACCGATATTTCTTCACTAGAATTTCACGTTTATAACGAGGAAACCGATGTTTCACCACCATATGAAAAAGAACATCTTTTGAACCGCACAACAAACGAGGGAACTCTGTATATCATTAAACTTCTATTCAAATGAAGGAGCTTTCGCCAAAGCTTCATCAAACCCCAAATTCCATTTGTATTTCTGTCATAGTCGCTCTGTTGTTTAATAGAATTCTTCCCTATGGGATCTGGCTGCTTTCTGATTGGTTCTGGTGAAAGCAATAGTGACAGAAGTTATATACTAATAGCGATTATAGAAAATAATCTTAGAAAATAATTTTTGGGCTGCAAATATGAAAATTAAACTCAGCGTGGCTCTATGCGTTGAAACAAATGTAAAAGAGCACTAGTTTAGATAAGTAATAGAAAGCACGTCTATAATGTTCAAACTGGCGTCAATATTAGAGTTAATTAAATTGTTTTTAACTTGGATTAATCAAAACAATAGTTTCTTCTTGCTAAGTGTTTAGACAAAGAAGCTGGTTCGAAAATGATAACTCGTTCGGTTATCAATTGTTGATTATTAGATCAGTTTGGTAAGTTTGACGCGAGGACCACTGCGCGGTTTTGTTGCGTTTTGGGACAACATTGTTGAAGCAGTAAAACATACCCGGCACAAAATCTGATAAGATATATCTTTTTATCGAGACTATTTCAAGAGATCTGTTTGGAAAATAATAAAACAGAAATTCCATTCAATTTATCTTTGAGTATTTCTGTTAGTAAAGAGCATGTGCCAAAAGTGAGTATTTTGCTGCTTTTACTATCAATGAAAGTCATGTAAAATACAGTATTTCTTACCTTTTCAAGAATAACTGCCCGTTTGCAGTACCATTTTTTCTTATATATTCCATTTTTGTGCAAATTAACAGCAAATACAAAAGGCAAGATTATTAACAAATGTTGGAAAAATACTTCTAGACGTTGTAACATACTGCAAGATTGTCTAAGTCCGATTTCAAAAACGATTACTGTTTTGAGTTTATGGTTTTCCCCTTTTGTATCTTTTTCTACAGCAAACTTTCTAAAATGATTTTCCACATTTGACAATCGAACTGAGTTGTGTTAGCACAACGAAAGATTCACTCTTTAGTGACTTTTAGTACTGGTCTATTGACGCAGGAATGAACAGTTATTTATTTTTTTGAAACTGCTCCAGCTTGTACTTCCTTTTCCAAATATCATTCTTTTTAATTTTCCAGGAAACATGTTCGATTCTTGGAAATTTCTGGTTCCAATCTGCCATTGAGGCTTGACAGTTCCCAAGCTTAGATGGAAAATATATTATTTGTCTATACAAGTCAATTATAAACAAGATGAACCATTGGATGAAAAAATGAAGAATTAGTTGTCTTTTATCGCACTAGTTTCATATTCAACACCATGTATGTCAGTTGACATCATGTACATCGGACTGCACTTCAACTTGATCCGGTATATATCTGATATGAAGGAAAGAGAACGATCACTAATTCTAAATAAGTACAAGCGAATAGTAACTAATAGCAACGTCGCTCCTACTGACTTTTGACGATCCACTGTAATCAGTACGTTAAGCACTATAATAGTCGATATCCCACTAGCATATGATCATCTACTATGGAAAGACAGCTTATGATACGAATGAACAAATAAAAAAACGAAGTCTTTACACACGAATTAGAAAGAAAATGAAAAGTAATCACCGTTCAGTTAGAAACTAACGGTTCAATCTGAAGAGCGAAAACAACACCGGGTACGAAAAAGAGACTAACGAGAGAAGACCCCTACGTGTCCAATCGTTTTTACCTTGAAAGCTAATTAATTAAAGGTAATATTTGATGTTGATCCCAAAGCTGATATTCATTTTTGCTGCTAGATGCTTTTACCATGGATCTGCAGATATCCGGTCTCTGGAGACTTGTCTTAGGTAAAGAGATTCTGAACTGCCTATTGTAGGGCATGTCGATTTACCTATAGGACAAAGTTTTCCGATTTACCAAATAGCTTAGATCGAGGTATGCAAGTTTTATGGATCAAAATACTGTTTCAAGTTATCATAGACTTATTAGTAAAACTTACGGTTAGATGAATAATACATTACTCGATGCAGAAATTTGTGCTCTACTCCAGAAACTAAAAGCTAAAATTCTATGACGAAGAATCATGGTTTAATCAATTCTTGAACAAGCCGCTTGAAATATAGTGATATGATTAGACACAAACAAAAATAAAATACAAATCTATACAGAAAGAAAAAATCCAATGGTTTAAGTGTTTATCTGTGGCTATTCAAAATTCAGATGTCATGATCGGTATGTTAAATAAAATCTCTCCTACAGCATTGTTTTTTTATCAATACATGCGTCCGTGTGGAACTAAAATCTTCACATGTTTTTTATATCAGATTTAACTAGGTTTAGCTGAAGAGGCAAATTTATACAATACAGTCGTATTCTTCCATTTACTTTCTAAAAACATGCGATATCACTGATCAACATGCGAAATCCTATCAAATGAAAAATGAAATGGCGGCAGTACATTTATTCGAGATACTCCAGAGGCACAAAATTGAAGTGCCCTACTTCTACTTGACAAAAAATAAGCAGCAACTTTGTCTGAAGTCGTATTGTTCAAAAGGCATATTTTTCTCATGTTCTATGGAACTGTGACTAATACTCAACCATCAGCTATGACGACGAACAGCATTTATCAGTGAAGTGCACATTATATGATTCTTCAAGGACATCAGCTACCATGAAAATTACGTCTTCTAATAGAATATCAAGTGCAACATGGGTGCAGTTCGAGTCACACGAATCTGAATCGATTCGTTGCCTATGATCATGAATTTATCGCACTTTTAAAAGCTCCTACATCTGAAAACAGGACGGATTCATTTGAAATTGAAAGGGTAACTTTTTCTGAAGAAAAAAAATATTATGATGCGAACTGAACATCTGTCGAATATTGAACAAATACCCAATAATCAATGGTGCACTTCGTATGTACCTATTTAGCTGTTTAAATGACACAATTCATAATTAAAATCTGCCTCGGATTATGCTGACAGATTTTTGACGGTATTTTCTTGACGAGACAACTACACATGTCATCTTTCGACAACAAACTTTGAACGTTAAAAGGCTGATTTTTCAGAGAAAAGCAATACAACCCGTTGTGAATCAGTCTTTTTATCTTTGACATGGTATCGCTCTCTAGCGCTTAGGCGATGCAGTTTATTTTCATTTTCTTTTATTTCCTTCTTCCTACTCATGCTAATAAAAAAGAGGAATTCTAATATAATATCCATGTAATTAATCTAAAAATTATCTTTAACCGAAAATCATTATTTTTCCTAGGTAGGAGCCCAATCAGATCAAGTATCGTCCACCAAAATGACTCGCCAGATAATCGGACGATGTATGATATTCTGGTCTTTCACCTTTTTAGTAGACCGATAAACTGATGATTGTCCGGCTCATCTTAGTCTGCAACGCCTATATTACTTTATGGTCCCTATCCTAATTCATCTAGGCGTGCATCTAGAATCGGATATCTAATCCAATACATCCATGAGTTCGATCTTTTCGTCCGATACACAAGCAGCAGCAGCATTTAAGATCTTCTTCATAGAGTACTTTTGCTTCGGTACAAATTTTTCATGACTTCTGATGATAATTTCACGCAAAATACAATGTGACAAAGTTATCGTTTTGATTGGCGACGTTTCTGCGATGTGTTGTCAATGTGCCATAGAAAATACAATACAGATCGAAAAGTCGGCATTAAAGCGAATGAGGTTATATTCTTAATGTTAAACAGCCTGTAACTCGGTCGTCCAAGATCATCGAAACGTCACCAACATCTCAGTTTGTGGAGAATTGAAGGGGCCATCCAATGATATTGTTGAGAAGCTTCTGAAACAAATTTTAAGGTCACTAGATTTTCTAGAAAACCGAGTTTTTCAGAAATCTCTATCTCAAGATCCCGAAGCCTAGTATAATGTTTCTTCATCGAAATATATAGAACTCGACGTGCTCTGTCATTTGATGCCAACTTCAAGGTTCTGCTTTAGGGAATGTGATCAGCAGACGTTCTACAAGTTAGGCCAAATCCGCCAGAAAATGCATTTTTCCGCTGCGAGGGTAAAATGGCTATAACGTTTTTTCTAACAAGGCTAAAGACTTGCGGTTTTCACCGTTCGGTTCAGCTTGCTGAGCTCTATAATATGAGGCAAGTCTCGTCACTAACGTCGAAGGTCGATGTAAATGATGGTAGGTTTTATATGGATCAAGCGTATCCGTCGATGCCAAAAACATCACTCTGCAGTTGTAATATCCAAAAACGTGAGCATTTGCGCTTTCAACTAGAAATTAATGACCAGTCATTTTGTGGAGTTTTGAAAGAGCTTTCTTTCGATATATAATGTAGACCGCAACCTGGGTCCTTTCATGGTGAAAAAGTTGAAATAATATCGTGGACTATGCTGAAAAGGTCATTTGTAACAGTAATATTCCAAAAATGTGGGTGCTCGCAGTGTACATAACAATTGAGCAATAGATAGTTCTGTTCGCCTTTTGAAGCTGCATCAAATGGTATATAAAACTTACCTTCAAACTTGTTGTATTCTGAGAAAAGTACGAAAAACACATCGGAATGGGTTCGCGGAGCTATTGGTCAAAGCTGATCGATTTTTCTCACAGATATGAGGTCTGAAGAGAAACCAAGGGTCTAGAACCCCATAAAATCATATGCTCTTTCATTCTAGATACCTTTCGAGAAGATCTGAAATGGGGCCGATTCTCGTTCTTATTGTACCCCGTCCTTTCTAACAATCTTTTACTTGTTAAATTTTAGAAGAACGACTATCAATAGAAGAAGAAGCATATGATGAAGACTGTAAAAAATATTATCGTGTTGTAGGAAAACCATTAATACCAATTTGTAGTGATAATAATATTGAATTACCATCATCAAGACAAATAAAATTTGGTATTGATCAGATGACAAATTAAATGGTGACTGGAATCGCATATATTATAAAGGTCATACATATTGGAGTAGTGAATTGAATGATGGTAAAGATCGTGGTGGTAAACCATATTATTGCCCTGTTGGATGGAAAAGATACTCGTTTTATATTACTGAAACACCACAAGACTTTTATCAGAAATTTAAAGGATGGTGTATATGTTATCACGGTATAAAATTTCAATATGGTTTAACTATTTTATTAAGTGGATTAAAACCTGCAAATCAGGCAGCACATGGTGCTGGAGTATATTTTAGTCCCTGCATTAATTATGCATATCATCCAAGATATTCTGATGTCCAACAAATGCCATCGGAATATCAAAAGGATTTTTCCAAATCTGGTAGATATTTGCAATTTGTATTAGAATGCCGTGTTCATCCAGGCAATATTAAAAAAATGGCAAAGGAAACATTATCGGCTAACAGTACTACTGTCGATCCTAATATAAATAATAGTGTTATTGAATGGGTTGTTGATCATGGCGGTAAACAAATTGTGAACTTTGAGATTCGGGCTCTCCTATTGTTTGTACAGGATTAATGATGCGTGTTACAAATAATCATCCTTATTTATTATCTGAATCACAATGGTGGTATACATCACATTTATGTAATCAAAATACATGTTGTTGTTTAAATAATGATGACATTAAATAAAGTTTATAACTAATATGGCAGTTCAGCTATTTTTTGTTTCTTATAATGGCAGCTCCATTAAAATACATGACACTTTTTCTTGTCATTCGAAAAACAGTTTTGGTTGTTATCCGAAGTAAAAAGGCGACATAGAATATTAGAATAAGAAATGTTCAGAAAGGGCAGGGTTACAACGGATGAAAGTCTGGAATGTCAGAGACAAACTTTTTATATACTTTTGCTTGGCGTAAATATGTGCAGGCCTTTGCTAACGTCCATTTTGTCTGATATCTGATTTGCGAAGGCAGAAAACTCGGATTATCCAGTTATTAGTCGACTACCAAATGATTGTTTTCATGCCACGACACAGCCGTTCTACCACGTATGAACTCTAAAAGTGGGACAGAGCTTCATTAGATCGTGCGAGAAAGCTCTATTATCGACATTCTAAGGTTACCGAGGTTATTATACAAAAAATTTCAATAGGTATTAATTTAAGAGCGAGCATAGAGATGTGAAAAAATCGAACTCTCCTGTATTGTCTACTTAACTGGTGAAGGAATGAAAAAGTCGCCGGCCGCATTTTCTCTCATTCTATTAATAGTCATGTAGCATAGGCGTAGTTTATCATACAATAAATCATCATCATCATTAGAAAAAATCATACAAAAGTTCTAAAAAGGCTGAGTTGCTGTCGTCCATTCATGAAGACATTAGGGTAAACATTGTGTAGAAATATGAATAGAACGAAAGAAAATACGTCTTTTTTGTTCTTATACTATTTAAAACATAGAATATTCACTTTAGACTACTGACTTCTCCTTTCATGATTAAGGTACGTATGAAGATTGCTTCGTTCGAATTGAATAATTGTAGAAAATTCAATTATTTATCACATCTCTTTGCTAGATCTTAAATTATTGATAAAGGAAACATTTCAGGGTATGTTGTGATGTGTCTAAAACTGATCTGAACACTTTACAGAGTATTTTCTAAATGGCTGTTAATAGTCATAAGCTGTCTCACAATGATTGATAGTTAAAGAAATGTGCATAGTTTGTGATCCTTTTTCAATACATCAGTTATGAGTCATGATAAGTAATACTTTCATCCACAATTCATGTAGTCTGTTGAAACTAGAAAATATTGTTTGAGATAAAGCACTAGACTTATATTTTTTATAGAGTATAGCTTTGAACTGGCAATATGAAAGATCCTAAAAATATTTTTCTATTAGATGAAACAACTATCAAAAAACATCAGCTGTAATTCTAGAACTATATGTGAGACAAATTTCAAGTTTAAATGAATTAAAGGAATAGAACTAAGGCCAATCGCAATGAGTATTGGGAGGAGGGGACCCTTCCTCGAAGGGACCCTAGAATCTTAGTAAGACTTCAGCCATTGTCCATTTCGATTGCGTTTCTGGTCCTTATATACACAAGTACGAACATCACAAACATTTTATGTAGAAAAATTGCCCGGACGAAAATTTATTTAAAAAAAATTCATTTAAGTTGAAAGGACAATCGAAATTCAAAATCAGACAAAATATTCATTCCTGCAGGTTGTCTTCTGGAGTTTTTGAATTCTCTATATAATCGAAAAATCTCTAAGGTAAGTATTTCATTGTCATAGATCTTACTCTAGTTGATCGTTTATCATGACTTCATTGATGGTACAAACAGATGAATAAAGAACTAGATACGTTTTTGTATGACGAAAGTTAAGGCATTGAATACTCAAAAAAAGTATCGAGAGTCAAGTGTACCTTTGTCAATTTTATTGTAAACGAACATAACCAGTGCTCTCGTCTAAATGACAGTTATTCTAACGATATAAAGAATGTAAAGGTTCGTGGATGTTATTCGACTGGTTGACTCATCACTTTTTTCTGAATATTCTATTTCTGATTAAAAAATCAATTTGTTTTATCAAAATATAAGGGTGTCTAACAACTGTAAAAGAATGGGTTTGAAGGAGATTCGTTTGCAGTTGTTATGAGTTGTTTGTCAAGATGATCTACTTCGATTTTTGGAGATTACTTTTAATCTAGCATATAATGGTATTCTTCGTCTAGGAAATATCAACATTAGAATCAAGTCTACCAAATGAAATGTATGATTTTATTTTTTGTCTATTTGAAAGCTATTGATATTATTTATTCATTTTTCAATTTCAATGATCGTTTTAATAATCTTATTTATCCATTTTTATGCACAATAGATTTATCCAATGTCGATGAATGTGCGTTGAACAAGTATTGTCGAACAATTTTACCAAAAATTCATCATTATATCAAAGCAATTAAAGTTGATGATGAAAATATTGACTCTGGTTTCCCATTATGGTTATATTCTAAAATATATCCGAATCTTGAATCACTTTTTATAACGAAAATTGAAAAGGATGGTAAATATTTATCATATTTAAAACTGTTTAAACAATTACTTAATTTAAAACTCTATTTTGGTATCGAACACAAACATTATTTTTTGATAATGTTTACGTACTCATCAATACTCAAATCATTCAACTATGTTTTTCTATTAAAAAGTTAACAATAAAAGTACGTTGTTTCGATAATGTGTATGTTCTGTTAAACAATTTACCTTCAATCGAATCTGTGAATATTGATATACCGAATATCAATAGACGAAGAGGGCAGGAGCCACAACAACAAAATGACGTCCAATTTGATTACGATAAAAATATTCCTTCGACATTATCAAAATTAAAACATTTTGTATTCTACGCTATGTTTACTGCTAATTATGATTATTTAGAATTGTTATTATCTCAGTGTTGCTTTAATCTAGAATACTTATCATTGAATTTATATATTGATCAATTTGTTGATGGTGAACGTTTAGAAAAAAAGTTATTATCAAAACTAACAAAATTGAAAGTATTTCATTTTTGTCTTCGTATTCCAGTTGTCGGTAACACATTGAATATAGACGATTATATCCAAACATACAAATCGTCTTATTGGATTAATAATAATCATTCGATTTTATGTTTTAATCAACCACTGCGTAGTCGATATTATTGTGTATTTTCATTACCCTTTATGTTTAATAAATTCTGTTACGTTTCAAATGATCTAGTTAATTATCGATCAAATGACAACAATGATATTTTGTTATACAGTAAACGAAACAAAGCGAAACAAATTACTTTATATGATAATACAGTTCCGTATAGATTAGAATTATTTCAGATTATCCAAAAAGCATTTCCAAGAGCAACAGACCTAGTATTTCTTACACCTCATATTCCTTGTTTAAGTGATAATTTACTGAATAATGAATTCATGATGGAAAACATCGTCACTCTGATATTGCTTTTCGAGCAAGTAAAATTTAAACATTTCAGACGACTATTATTAATGACACCAAACATTCAACAGTTATACATACTACAGAGTTTAGTATTCGATATATTGAGAAATTCAGAAGACTCTTCTTTTGAACAAGTACAATCCACATGCAATCGTATCAGACGTGTCTATATTGCCAGACGCTCATTCCAACACGATGTTTCAAACGATAATGGTATAAAACTGTTATTTCCAAATGCTGAACCTTCAGTATTGCGCTAAACATTCAATTCGGCCATTTACTTTAATATTAATAAGTTTCTACATGCCGAAATTTTCATTTCTTTGTTCGCCCTACAAGAGACGATAGATAAACTTTCTGTTAAACAGTATCAAGACTCGCGAATTTTATTTTATTATGTCGATCGACATTATGGATTTGTTCAGGGTTTTTTCTTTTTGTTGTTGTTGTTTACCCTAGTGACTGTACTTGATACAAGTACTTGATTACTTGAGGAGTACTTGGGAAGTACGTGAGCAAGAACTTGTCAATCATCGTTACTTGACTTGCTTCAGCCAAGTACTTGAACAAGTCACTCACCCTTTTCTTTTGCGTTGACCACTGGTACATAAACACCACAATATTAATTGTTATACACTTATAAAATAAACTTATATATTTCTACTCAGTTGAACAAACTTAGTAGCCGTGCATGTATTTGCTCTACAAAAGTATAGCTCCAGAATATGTGTAAAATACAAAATCAAAATCAAATAGAACAAGTACTTGACTGAACTTTTTCAAGTAAATTTATCGGCATTATGTCAGCTAAGTACTTACATTTTACTTGTCAAGTATTTTCTCAAGTACTTGACAAGTAAGCTTACTTGAAAAAGTCCACAAGTAGTCATCGTTCTGAAAGCGGGAGATAGCTCTCTTTGTACTGAATGTGGACCATTTCACGTGCTTCGTTTAAACAAAACTGCAGATCAGCCGCGATGAGTTCAATACGTCGAAGAAAAATGTGTCTGGGACTTCGAAATTTTTACTATATTTCTAGTTATCCGACGCCATTCTATTCTTTTGACAAAATTGCGAAATGAATTTGTCTAGATATGTACTAATTAGTGAATTTTATTTCAGACACATGCATGTAATGTGCCTTGGGGCAATTATGGTGAGGTCCTCAAAATTTCGTCGTACACTGTAAGGTTGGAAATTATTTATGGAAAATGCTCGGCGAATTTCGAAGAGTACCTATGGGAATTCCTCGAGGATTTTCTAGTTTATAGAAAATCGAATTTCCATCAATCTAAAAATCGTCGTTGAATTTCCATAAATAATTCCCAGGAAATTAGAAATTCCGTTTTGGTTTTCTATAAACCGGCATAGGCAGACCTGTGATCTAAAGTAGAAACTGTCAAAGCAGATTTAAGTGGAATATGAGTGACTCTTATACCTGCACTCATTGCAAAACAAAAAGATGAATAAGTATTTAGTCTAGAAATTCCTGGACGAATTTCCACTTTCTAGAAAATCACCCAGGATTTTCTAGTTTATAGAAAATTATCTAGTTTGTAGAAAATCAACATTTCAGGGTAAAGGAAAAATATTTCAATTCATTAAAAAACACGAAAAAAAATCAAAATTAATTTTAGTCATTTGAATTGAAAAAGTCTCATATTAAATCGGTTCAACTAACGTCTAGCTTTGAATTAGTTGAAATTAATTGAAAATGGTTCAAACTCATCTGAAATTTCAATTAATATGAATTACCGCTTTTCCAGTGAAAAATTCTGCCCGTACTTCTTAGTTTTCTCTGCGCTTCTGCGACATTTCGAAGAGAAATAAAAGACAAAATACAAAAGATGTATACGGAGAGAAAATCCTTCAGTGTTTTGGCAAGATTTGACACCTGAAAGTAAATTGCACGTAGCGTCGCCATTTTTCAACTTCAAAAACCCGAAAACGGGCCATTTTACCCAGAATTTCAGAAAATATTTGTTTTTGAAAATTATTCGCTAAGTCCATAAGTCGCAGAAGTTTCTGGAAAAATAGGATGTTTTCTGGAAAATAGGACCGCTTTCAGAACGTAAAACTCGTATCGTTTTAGGGTCTTAAATAGATAGTTTTGTAAGCGTTTTCTTACCATTTACTGGCCGTTTATTGATCGTTAACGGGCCGTTTTTTTCTCGTTTTGACAACGCTAACGAACCGTATTTTTGACTTCGGCTATTATATTAAAGAAGTTAACAAATTTTTCTGTGATTTATGTGTCGAATCTGCTCTTTCTCACCAATCGACCTAATCTACGCACTAACACTATACACATTATCTAACAGCACTATAATTTCTTTTTCTTACTTGATAACATCGACATTCGAACATCAGAAGTTGTTTTTGCCAGTCTGTCTCTGCAGGAAAAAGGATGCAGTTCTACTGGAGAAACATTGAGTGAATCGGGTAGAAAGATGAAGTTCCGCAGAAGAAACATCGAGTATTTTACCTGTCAAAGGATGGAGTTCTACTGGAGAAACATGGAGTTTTTCCGGAAGAAACATGCAGTTCTACTATAAGAACACGGAGTTTTTCACCAAAAAAAAAAACTCGACTACAGAAAGATCGATTTAGTCGGGTAGAAGGATCCAGTTCTCCTGGAGACACACCCAGCATTCCAGAAAAGAGCGTGAAGTTCTGCAGGAGAAACATGGCGTTTTTCGGGTGGAAAGCTACAGTTCTACTAAAAAAACATCCAGTTCTTCAACAAAAAGGATGAAGTTTTACTGCAGAAACATCGAGTTTTTCGTCAAAGAAGATGCAGTTCTACTGGAGAAACATTGAGCTTTCCATCAAAGCAGATGGAGTTCTGCTAGACAGACATCGACGTTTCCATCAGAAAGGGTGCATTTCTACTGGCGAAACATCGAGTATTCCGAGGGCTGTCAGAATATCAGTACGCAGTGTATTCTCTGGGCTTGCTGGGCTTGCTGGGTTTGCTGGGCTTGCTGGGCTTGGTGTATTCTCATCGAGAATACACAAATATCTAATATTCGAAAAATGTGCTCGGCTTTCTGGGCTTGGTGTATTCTGGTATATTGTAGACCAAAACAGTTATCTGTATCTTTC